ATTTGAACCACCAGAAGGGCACTGCCTTTGAGGTGGCCATACAGCTTCCTTAGGCCTAGGACAGGATGCTTGTTTAACTGTCCAGGGTCATCAAGTGGTCTGTTAACAGTTGTGCTGGTTTCCTGAGGAGTGTGCAAACAGGGAGTGTATTAGGGAGGAGTTTGTAGAGTCATATTTTATTTCCTCACATTTTCCTAATTCATGTCATTTTTTCAGGTTTTCTTGCCAGCTCCCTAACTTACTCTTCAGTGTTGGAATTCCTCAGTATTTGGTTCTCTCCCTGATCTTCCTACTTTCCCCCCTCAGGCATCACACTCATGGGTTTCTTTACTACCTAGAAATGTAATGATTCTCAAGTTGATTCTGTACTTAAGATCTTTCCCCAAAATTCTCTTACTGTGTCATCTTTACCTCTTCAGTTTCCTTATGTCACACTCCCTGATTACTGTTTCTCTAGTCTGGATGATTCTTTTTTCTTGAAACCTGCTAGATTCCTTCCTGTCCCAGAGACTTTTCTCAACTCCAGTTTATTTTGCCTGAAATGTTCATAATTCAGTTTGCCTAGCCATTGACTACTCCTCTTTCAAGTCTTTTTTTTTTAAATAAAATGTGTTATTGTATTATTGTAATTTTGATGTTAATGAAAGTTTACAGAAAAGTTTAATTTTCATTAATTCATTGTTTCACGTTTCCCTCCTCCTTTCCCTCTCCCCCAGTATATTGGGTTGTTTATATATATATTCATTGATTGTTGCAAAATGAGTGTTCCACTTCCTTCACCCCCCCAGTTCTCCTTGTGCTGTAACTTCTCCTAGACTATTGTCAGATGTATAATGGCTAATAATATATTCTTTTTAAACAGTTCTTTCCTTCATTTGTTCCAGTGCAGTGTTCATTATCTATCCACTCTTATCCTATTCTCCTCCCATCCCCCATGATGGTCCTGCTTTGTTACAGTGGTGCTATGCAGTATTTGTCCTTTTGAGACTGAGATATTTCATTCAGCATAATGTCTTGATTTAATGATCACTTTCTGTCTTTCTGACCACTCCAATTCCAATTTTATGGTTTAGTAGCCTACTACACTTCTATGTTCTATTTTGTAAACATTCTATTTAAATTTTTATATAATTCATTATTTAAATTTTTATTGACCTGCAGGTAATCATTCATATACATTATGTTTCATTCATGTACATTGTGTTTTATATACTTATTCATATACATTGTGTTTCATTCATGTACAGTTATATTTTATATATTCACATACGTTGTAGTTTGTATTAGTTATATTGACATATATCTTTTATCACCCCATGTCTTTGAATCCTCCTTGAATCTTTCCTATCCCTTCACCACCTCTACCCTACATACCTGCTTTTTAATACGGCTTTCCCCCTCTAGGGAGGAATCTTGTGACAGTTGGTAGGGAATTGTTCTGCCAACCAAAAGTGAAAAGAAAATCCTGCAGTTGATCTAGAGGAGAATGATGGGAAATCTCTTGGGGAGTTTGTTGTTGTTGTTGTTGTTTTTGTTCTTGTGTGCCATCAAGTCAGACCCGACCTACAACTGACCCTCCAGAGCATTTTCAGTGGCAGTAGTTGCATGTGAAGAGATTGCCTATCCTTGTCCCATTGAGTTTACAGACTAAAAATCTTTGGAAGGGTCAACTATGAGTTGGCTCCAACATGACAATGGATTTTGAGTTTTTTTGTTTTGTTTTGTTTTTAGATTTCCCTCTTTAGGCTTTGAGATCAGTGAGGACAAGAAGATCTATGTTTGTAGTGTTCTTAAAAGAAAACACTTAGCAAAGGGCCAGCACTTTACATGGGGCCTCAGTAGACAGAGTGAACTGCTTGAGTTAGGATAAGAAAAATTTAAGAAGGTTATCCGGAGAGGGGTCTGATCAAGTGTACTGTTTTGAAGCTTATGCTGCTGATAGTATAGAATTGGGTTAGAGGGCCATGAGTAGGATAAGGGAGACAAGTAGGGAGATGTGATTACTCAAAGTTTAGAGCTTCCTCGCATGCATACAGAGTTCGTAGCTAGCTATTGTGTGTAGGGTCACTTTGAGTCACAGGCAACTCAATGGCATATAATAACAACACACATATGATAAAAACACAAAGATGTCATATTCCTTGATCGAGTGCTCAAACAGTATCACCAGATTCTGTGACTCTAATTCTAGTATTCACCATGTGGATGCATTAGCCCACAGTCACTCAGTGATTGCCCTTGTGACTCTAGTCTTCATCACAGGGTACAGCTCATAGAAAAGGGGGCCCACCTAATGGTCATGTGAGCAAATACCAAGACTGTCTCTGATTAGAGCAATGAATTCTCCTCTGCCATTGTTGCCATTCTGTGTGATGATTGGTTGGTCAAGATTCATCCAAAGGTAGGATTTGTAGGATTTGCCAGTTTCTTTGGTGTAAATATTCTCCCTATGGCTGATTTCAAGATGCCTGGTTTGCAGAGTTCCTGAATGCTTTAATTGTCTGTTCTTTCATTTGCAACCTCTGATGGTCAAGGAGGGAGTGGAAGTCTAAAAGGCAAAAATTTGCAGTTACTAAGTATATACTTTGGTATCCTAATTTAAAGTTTTCAGATTGTTCTCCAACATACTGAAGAGCAACGATGTCAGTCTGGAGACTAAGTTGTGTCTAATTCAGGCCATGGTCTTTGAAATTACTTGCTATGCATCAGAAATCTGTATAGTGACTACGGATGATAGAAGGAGAATTGATACCTTTGAACTGTGGTGCTGAGGAAGAGTATTGAATATACCATGGACTGTTAGGAGAACAAATAGATTAATCCTAAAGAGAGTGAAACCAGGTTGTTTCTTAAAGGCAAGGGTTCTAAAGCTTTATCTGACATACTTTGGACATGTTGCAAGGAGGGACCAGTCCTTGGAGAGGGACGTCATGCTTGGGAGGGTGGAGGGACAGCACAGGACAGGAAGATTCTTGATGAGATGGATTGATTCAACGACTAGTGTAATGGGGATAGATGTGGCAGAGACAATAAGTTTGGGACAGGATAGAGCAGGTTTTAGGGCTATTGTACATAGGGTTGCTATGAGTCACAAGCAACTTGATGGTACAAAACAACAACAGCAACATCTTGAATAACATTTTTTAAGAACTATATAGTATTCTATTTTGTCAAGATACTGGTATTTACTATCTAAAAATATAAATAGCATGTGCTAGACATGTTTATACCAAACACATTTTTCACATTAAAGATTGATTTATTAAGATATTTTGCATAAGTGAATTTACTGAATTAGAGGAATAAGCCTTTTGATGTTTTTATTCAGTATTTCAGGACTCAAAGTTTCTCTCACCCCTCTCACTGTGAGAAAACCCCTCCACCATTACACTGTCTTTATGAGTAATTTTAAAAATAGTAACAGAATGAAATTGATGAATCATTAAAATTTGAACCCATTTTAATTAGGGTAAATGTTGAACTAGTCTGTGTTTTTGTAATAAGTGTATTTCTTATGGTGCTCTAATTGTGTTGTGGTGAGACGTTGCACTGCCAACCTAAAGATACGCAGCTCTAATATACCAGCTGGTTTGGGGTTTGGGGGGAAGATGGACAGTTTCCTCCTATGCATTTTATTGCCTCTGAAAACTCATTGGAGGATCAGCTATGAGTTGATTCCAGGTCTACAGACTATAACAGCAACAATAATGCTATTTCTTATATTGAACTTTCTTATTTCCCATGCATATGTGTTTGTGTATATGCTGATCATAGTGAATTGCTTCCAAGGTATTTATCTATGGATATTTAGCACAGATCACAGCTTAGTAAATGTTGTGGTTGGGTTTTTAGTTTTTCCTTGATTCTCATGTATTTTTTTTAACAAAAAAAAGACTGATAATACAAATACAAAGTGGGCAGAAGACTTTTCACAGAGGAAGTATTAGGTGGTCAGCAAACACTTGAAGAAATGTTTAAAATCACTGGCATTAAGAGAGATGCAAATCAATACAATAATGAGAAACCATGTCACTCAAGTAGCAGTGGCAAAGTTTAACAACAGAGCAAGGAATAAATGTTGGCAAGGATGTGGTGATATAGGAACTGTTATATGTTGTTGGTGGGTTTAAAAATGGTACAACCACTGTGGAAGGCAGTATGGTGTTTCTTCCAAAAGCTGAAGATAGTAAATGTTTTGTGTATGCAGGAGTCTTCTGTGTGAAACTGTCTTTAATTATGTGTAGCTTAGGATAATACTAGCTGCACTGAGCAGTAAATCCAAATTCATCATGAGTTGTTCTAAGAAAGCTTACTTGTCACTCATTTTAGAGACAGTGTGGGTGTTCCTAGTTGATATCTTTCAGAGCGGTTATTCAGACTTTTTTCTAGCTGGGCTGCTTAAATCTCATGGCTTTCCTATCTTCTAGGTTCATATCGTCCTTTCCATTTAGTTGGAGGATGGGAAAAGGAAATGGAGGGCAATTTATGGGAAGCTTATCGGTTCATCCTGGAAGTGCATATCACATTTTCTTACCTTTCCATTGATTAGAATTCAGTCACCAGTTCACTACTAATTGCGAGAGAGAAAAGAAAAAAGGATTTTGTGAACATCTAGCCAGTCTCTGTCTAAACTTAGAGAACAAATCACTCATGCAACATGTATTCTTTCCTCTATTTAAAAATGAAATGGAGAACTTTAAATACTAGTAATTAACACATTGTTCTTTAAAAAATCTGGTTATTATACCAGAGTAGTAGAAATCTGACATTGAATAACCATGAAGGGCTCTTAGTGTACTAAGATACTTCAGGTAGTGGAAGAGTGACTTTTGACAGATACTGTGAAACAAGTCTTGGATGGATAACTCATCCATTGTTTAAGAAAAGGTACAGGAAACTGTACAAAGGATATTTTGTAATCACTTGAGTAAGTTTGCTGACTTATTAGAATATTTTAATAGCCTGCTTTAGCTCTTTTGCCTATGTTTCTGTCTACACAGGTAATTAAAGTATACAGTGAAGATGAAACCAGCAGGGCTTTAGAAGTACCCAGTGACATAACTGCACGGGATGTTTGCCAGCTATTGATCCTGAAGAACCATTACATTGATGACCACAGCTGGACACTTTTTGAACATCTGCCTCACATAGGTCTAGGTAAGGGTTCAGAATCATGGTCTTACGTCATTGTCTTTCTGTTCCTTATGGTGGAGATCATGTGGCCAAGGGTTTCCTTCTGATAGAGAAAAATGAACTGAAGGAATTACAAATAGTCTTAATGTTAAAAAAAATTGTTGATGCAGTTTGAGGGACAAAACAGTACAAGACGGAAATGAGGGCAGAAATAATATAAATTACTACTCCTGATTCTTGATGTAATGTTCTGTGGGAATTTTGAAGAATCCAAAATGACTGAAATCTAAAGATATTTCTGACAACAATAGCAAATGAATTTCAGAAAAAATCTTTATTTGTACACCCAAAAAGAATTTTTTTAATAGTTAAAAAGCTAATTTTTTTATATTGGCTATCTAAAAAACTTGTTCGTAGTACAGACATGGGAAATATTAATATTCATTGAAGTGTTTCTCTTTATGGGAGTAATCTCTAAAGATTTGGTTGGTTGGTTAATTGGCTGTTTTAAAGAAGGTCCTGTACATTTTTCAGGCATCAACACAAAGAGTAAACCTTTACTTTTAATTGGAAAGGATTCTTTGTGTAGTGATCTATGTAGGACTTTCAACATTTTTCTCAATTCTTTAGTATGTTTTTATTCTTCTAGATAGACAATTTTGTCTCCTTTTAATTTCTTTGGTATATATATATATGTATATATATATATTTATATTGTGGTGAAAGTTTACATTCTCATTCAACAATTTCTACATATGTTGTTTAGCGACATAAATGACATTTTTCATAATATATGAATAGCCTGTTATTTTGGTTTTGTTATTCTACTTCCATAAGTCTAGTTTTCTTTATCCTTTATTGTTTTCATTTTTATTTTAAAGTAATTGTTGACTGTTGTTGTTCTTAAGTGCTTTTGAGTCAGACCGACTCATAGCTGACCCTCCAGTGAGTTTTCAGAGGCTATAAATCACATGAAAGAAAAGAGCCCATCTTTCTCCCACAGAACAGCTGGTGGATTTGAACCATCTGCCTTTGGGTTGACAATGTAATTCATTACCCACTAGGTCACCAGAGCACCCTAAATTTCATAGGTAGTTGTTTCTGTGTGCCATTGAGTCAAAACCAACTCATAGCTAACCCTCCAGTGGATTTTCAAAAGCATTAATTGCACAGGAGGAGATTGCTCATCCTTCTGTGAAGCGGATGATGTATTCAAACCACTTGTCTTTGGGATTACAATGCAGATTCTTACCACTTGACCACCAGAGCTCCCTAGTTTCATATAGGTTATATATTTCAAAAGGAGCACAATATTTATAGTTGGTATTATTTTTTTTCCCTTTTAGTCTTGGGCTGCATTATGATAGATGGTGAAGAGCTTGATATTGTTAACAGCTTTAGTTTGCTTGGCTCCACAATTAACACTCTTGGCACCAGCAGCCAGGCACTTGAAAGATGTATTGTGATGGGAAAGTCTGCTGTTAGGGACCTCTCCAAAGTGCTGAAGAGCAATGGTGTCACTCTGGAGACGAATAGTAGGTGCTCCTGATACAGGCCATGGTCTTCGCAGTCACTTGCTATGCATTAGAAAGCTGGACAATGACTAGGGAGGATTGTTGTTGTTGTTGTTGTTGTT